AATCGCAATATGACGTACATGTTACTTTTTATCGGAGGATTTTTCTTTTTTTTTTTTTTTTTTTTTTTTTAATCTCCAAGTCAATTTAAAAAGTGTAGTGGGCGTAATTCATTGTAACTTTTTTTTTCTTTTCTTTTTTATCTTTTGCTGTAAAAACTACGAATGCATTTTTTCCACTTTAACGTGGGAAAAAAAATTTGTTTTTCTATCGATTGGAAGTTTTGACCGGTCAATCCGCAGATTGATGATTGAAAAAAAAAAAATTTTTTGACAAATATATATCCAGTGAGCCATTCGTTCAGTTGAATTTCAGGAATAAAAGCTTAAAATAATGATCAAAATTTTTCCAGAGCTCAGTTTTGGCGAGAACTTGTGAATTTACAGGTAACTCCAACTCGCGTTTTGAATTTTTGATGTAGATATTATATTTGATTCAAAAAATTTTTTGCAAACTTTATTTCATTGTTTTCCTCTATCCGACAATGCGCTTCACAACGCATGCACGACAATGCCTAATTAAAAATAATGGGACGAGGTACATTTTTGGAACTAAAAAATCAGATAGTACATTTGACGATTCATGAAAGGAAATGATTCGTTGTCCTATTTAATTACCAAAATAATTATTCGTGTGTTACGCGTGTATAAACGTGAAAATTTTGTGACTACAGTAATGAAACAAGAGTTGACGCTCTAATTATACATTTGAAGTATAAAATTAATGAGATAAGAAAAGTGCTTCATTTAAATAAGCCCATCTAGTTTTCAGATTAATCCATACGCATATACTTGAGTTTGCATTTTTTTTTATTTTTTAATTATATACATGTTGAACTTACAATATTTTGGAAAACATTTAAGTAGTCGTGAAATAAGTATGGCAAAATCAAGTAGCGTCAACGATATTGATGCACTCTACAACCCACAAATTAATACAAGCTGTACTGCACCATCCCCGAAATCTACAATTAGACAAATATCGGCCCAGCATTAACGCTCACGTAACTATGTATACACAACTCGTCGACAAGCCCATATATTTTTTACCCTTACCTCAGAAGTTACATCGCCTCATTGTTACTTTTTTTTGCTTTTCTCTTCTCATGCTGGGATGTTTTTTTTTTTGTTTTTTTTTTTTTCTTCTGTATCCCGAGTTTAACGACGCTTTGTATACTTACCCGCGCGTCCAACACCGAACTTTTTTGCACGCGCCCTCCGACGCGAGGATTAATTCGAGCGAATCGCGAGTGCGAAACGCAAACTGAAAAAACGTCTCGCGTGCACAAAAAATTCGGTGTCGCGTGTAGTATCCAATGCAACAATGGCGGTGGTATATACGTATAGGTATATAATATTCCAAAGCCGGGGAGCGACACGTGAAAACAAACAACAACTATCGGCGCGTTAACGAGGAAAAGGTGACAGTGGCAGTATCATCAGGAAAGGGAAGGAGAAAAAGGAAAAAAAAAAAGAAAAATGCTTATAAGCTCGAGCAAGCAGATTGGCTAGATTGTTCATATTAACGTCGACCGAGCATCGGAGACTGTGGAACGCGTGGGGGGGGGGGTGTGGTGGTGCAAACGGAGTAGAGGGCGCCGGTTTCACGAGTCGATGGTTAAAGTGTCGCACTCCTCCCCCCCACACACACACAAATACGTACCAATTCTACACGTCTCCCAATGCAGCGAGGGAGGGCTGCAGCTTCACACGTGTGCACACACACACACGGGCGCGTGGTGGCTCGGGAATTGGAAAGCGAGTGCGCCGGCGAATTTATTTCGAAATCAATATAGGGAACAAGCCGAGCGGCAAGCGTACCCTTTCATTCGCATCCTCCCTCTTGCCCCACCCCCTTCGATCGCTTCCTCCCTCCCGCCACCCACCACCCGCGTCCATTTTCTTTATCTCTATCCATCTATTTATCTCGCTGTGCGTTCATTTCGTTGCCATCCCTACCCCCCCCCACCCCCGTTCTCTCCTCTTTCATTCGCATTTTCCCTTTGTACCCTGGACCTCCACACTCACTCGGTCGCTCTTACGACACATGCCACTTTTCCCCCACCCCTCTATCGTTTTTGCGCACCCTTGCGTAACTCACCATTTCTCTGGTTACAACAGCCACTCTCAAATACATCTATTTTTTATTATTATTTTTATAAATGTTATTTTTTTTTTTTAATACAGCTTGGCGTAATCAGCCCAAGCTCTCTCTGCTCCTCGCCCACTTCCACGAGTACCTATGTCAAGTAATATGGGGGGCTTGTACAATTGTATTTCGGTTTTTTTTTTTTTTTTTTTGCGCATCGCATCACCGTATGGCGTATTATTTTGGGCACGAGAAATCAATTTAACCCGCCAAACTGAGAACGAAAACAATTTGCAGGTATACAGGAGTAAACGAGATTATACAAAAATATGCATGAAATGCGGATTTCAGTATTCATAGTTGTGTGTAGTTGTGGTTCGGTAGAGTAGCAAGAAATAAATCAAAGACGAGGTAAAAAATGGAAAAATTCGAGGGAAAAAAGAAAATGAATTCTCGGTGAAACGCGTTAGGACCAGCTTTTATTAACATTCCCAAAGCTCAGGAACGACGCCCTGACAAGTAAGTATCAAACGTATACTTACTTACTTAAACGTACATAGAGCTGCGAATTCCCACAGTATATAGACCCCCAGAAAATTGTTCAAGTACGAGCTCGAGTCCCATGCTGCATACGGATACGTGTACATTTTATCCACAGCTATGCGGGCGAACGATTCAAAGGCAGCAAAACTTTTTTTTCCCTTCGACCCCCCCGGGCCTGGTGGCAGATACGGAGAAAGGAGACGTCAACGCAAGAAGGTATTCCGGGAGGTAGCGTGTATTATACACGAATATACCCGTACATGTGAGAGCAAAAATCCTCGAGATTGGGCGCGGGAGTGTAAGGCACTGCGTGTGCGTGTACAGTCGAGTGCAGGCGCCGCGCTACAACTTTCTTTTGGAGCTTTCTGGTGCAAGCTCGGGGTCTCGGAACCACCCGCGCGTCTTGTATTCAAATCACGTCGCCAGCCGAGCGAGCTGTGCTTCGCGTCCCAGCTATACCTATGGCTGATGTGCGTATACGTATACGTACATATTCACGTAGGTAAGATAACGTTGCCCCCGTGTGGCTTTGAAATACGTCAGGAGCAAGTCACCGTTAACCGGGACACACCCGAAATCAAATTATTTGCGCCACTACGAGATTCGTGCGTATAAAATGTGTATATACTTGTAACTACGTCGCGTTGATTCACGGATTCTAAATGAAATCAAAATAAATACAGGACTAACTCGGGGTGGGGTCGACTTTTAGATGTTAGGAAGGTACGTTTGATCGTATGGTTAATGAAATCCAAACAGGTATACCTGATTCTCGGTGTTGGGGCCGACAACTTTTTTTTTTTTTTTTTAGGAAATCAAGATTGTAATGCTCTATTGGCCGTTCATTTTTCTCCCCCCCCCCCCACCAGTTCTTTTAGCTTGAAAATTAATCTTTTTGTACGAAAAATCCCCATCTAATAACACATAATAATATGTTTGCACGTACTTATATACAGTACAGATCATAATAATAATGTATAATTATCCACATACATAAGCCGAAAAGCTCAAGGCCACACCCGATTAATGTTGCGTCGGTGGGTAATAAAATTCAATGTCTGCGGTAGAGCTCAGCTGAATCGCGTATTTCGACGCAACGAGTTATCTTTGGGTATAACATAAGTACCTACGTGATATGTACAGGACGATGTAGGTCGATCATACAAAGACGTTCCGTCGAGCGAAAGCGCTTGGTGTGGATAATCTGGTGTGTGTATATATACAGGGTAGGGAACGCACGTGTGTGTCTGGAGGAATGAGCTCAAAGTAGCAAAAACAGATGTTATTAATGGCCAGAGGAGAAGACAAAGGGGCCTGCCGGGTGTAGGGTAAGAGGGGGGGGGAGATGAAAAAACGAGAGGACGAGAAACACGAGTGAGAAAAGAGAGCGAGCAAAGAGGAGAAAAGCCCCCTTTCGAAATAAATGCATTTATGGCGAGCGTGCCAGGAATGCACCCTCGGGTCGCGGCGAAGCCGTTTGTCCGTTTTTCTTCCCGCCTTACCCACATATATATCTGTAAGCTCTTGCAAGCTGCGGAGAGACAAAGAGCAAATAAGAGTCCGTGAAAAGCGGCGCGAGACTGCGGAATGAGGACGCGTCGCCGCAGCAATCTTGCTTGCCCATAGCTGCTGTTGTTCCTTTTGCGTTAATCTCGCTGTTCAAATCAACAAAGCACCTTTTTCCCAACGAAATTTCAATAGACCGAGTGTCTCTTTGCTTTTTTTGCCTCATAAGCATTTTTTTTTTTTTTTGTTTCCTTTTCCAACATGTACACGAGACAAAGGACATAAAGATCTTGTAGACAAATCAACGAACAAGTCGTCAAAGGACTTGTTTTTATGTTTTTCTCATTCTCGTGATTGAGCACGTACAAAATAACATACCCGTATTTAAATATACAAATGTTAACATCCCTGTTATGCAAGTATATTTAATATACATGTATAGGTGTATGAAATTTCGTTGTGAGTATGTATACGAAAACCATGAGTGTAGAGTGGAATGTACTTAATTAACGAAATTAAATTTGTTGCTCTCGGAGGATTTACCGCACAAATTCGGAAATTCGAAAATGAAGCCGTTCCCTCTCGCCGGTTGGAAGCACGGAATTTCTGTGATTAATTATATTACTAGTTAACTGACCTATATTCACGGTATATTTTTAACACTTTTAAAAGAAAAAGATTATGAACAAAAATCCCCTATACCCCCACGCCATCCCTTTGTCGTTGGGTACTTATTATCAATACATTTTTACAAATGCGTTGAAAATGAATTTACATTTCTTTTTCACAACGAGACGTATAAGGTGTACTTGTACAAGTATATGGATGGATAAAGATGACACGTGCCCGTCTTTGGGTGTTGCAGGTGTCGGACGATACATCGGTTGTGATGTGACGGCACGCAGGATGAACCGACGACCGCGCTGCTGTTCCGGGGCACTGGTGGTGGTGGTGGCCCTGCTTGCTCCACTGCTCGTCCCGGCCCGCGCCCAAACTGCGGAATGTCCACCGTCCGAGCTGATTCCCGGCTGCCCGTGCTACAACTTCGAGGACGGCCTGTTCCTCGAGTGCGCCGGGGCGACCGAGGACACCCTCAGGTCCACGATGCTCGGCATCGTCAGCGCGGCAGGTATATATGGAGACGACTTTTCCCCTTTTTCTTTCTTCCAATATATATTTATACTCTTTCAAAAAAACGAAAATTGCCCCCCCCCCCCCAGGGGAGCACGCGCTCGTGCAATCGTTGAGCGTCTACGAGCTGGACAAGGGGATCGAAGTCCTGCGGGAGTCCCTCTTCCCGGTGGGCTCGCGCATCCGGCACCTTCAAGTGTCGCACTCGTCGCTGCGCGAGGTCTCCGAGACGGCGTTCCGCAGCCTGCGGTCCAGCCTCGAGTCGTTGGCCCTGGTGTCGGGGCGCCTGGTCCAGGTGCCGCAACGCGCCCTCGCCGAACTCGATGGTCTCGCGGCCCTGGACCTCGAGGCTAACCTCGTGCAGGAGCTCGCCTCGTACTGCTTCTACGGGCTTAAGCTGGTCAAGCTCAGTCTCAAGGCCAACCGGATAGCCAAGGTCTCCGAGTACGCCTTCGCGGGCCTCGAGCCTTACCTGGCCGAGCTCGACCTCGCCGAGAACAGGCTCAAGCACTTTCCCATGCCGGCACTCCGTAGGCTGGAGAGCCTGGACTCGCTGAAACTGGCTTGGTGAGGGAGTATAGTAGCTTGCGACTTGGCCACGCCGGGACCTATATGACTTGGGGTTATTTTTGGTTTTTTTTTTTTTTTCCCCCCCCGTCAAAGGAACGAGATAGCTGAGCTTCCGGACGACGGTCACTCGGCTCTAGCGTCACTGCTCGTGCTCGACCTCAGCAGTAACAACTTCGAGCGGCTCGGGCCCGACTGTTTCCGGCCGTGTCCCCTCCTGCAGAGCCTCTCGCTCTACTACAATGGCATCGAGGACGTGGACCGGGAGACCTTTGTCTCTTTGACGGAGCTCGAGTCCCTCGATCTCAGCCACAACAAGATCGTCTTCCTGGACGCGGCCACCTTTCGGGCTAACCGCCGGCTGCGCACCGTAGAGCTGAGCCACAATCACATCCACTACATCGGGGGCGTCTTCGCGGGCCTCCCGGAACTGCGCGAGCTCTACCTCACCGAGGTTGGTCTTGTGCGTTTTATCCTCGTGGTTGCCCCAATTGTTGAAAAATCATGGATTATTTTTTATACGAGTGACGAATGAATATAAATGATTGTTGTATCGCGCGCAGAATAACGTGCTCGAGTTGCCGGCCGAGGCGTTCGCGGGCAGTGCCAACCTGAGCGTCGCTTACCTCCAGCAGAACGCCATTCGAAGGATAGACGCGCGCGGATTGGCGGGTCTCCGGGAGCTCGAGCAGCTCCACCTGACCCTCAACTACATCGAGCGCCTGCCCGCCGAGGTGTTCGAGCACTGTTGCGCCCGGCTCTCTTCGCTCTCGCTCGACGGCAACCGCATCCGCGACCTCGAGCCCGGGACTTTTGCGCGTCTCGGCCGGTTGCGGGAGCTCCGGCTCCAGGACAATCGTCTGGCCGAGGTGTCGCGTGGGGTGTTCGCGCCCCTGCCCGGCCTCCAGGAGCTCCACCTCCAGGACAACTCCATCAAGGACATCGAGTCGGGGGCCTTCAGTACCCTCGGGAGTCTCCAGCACGTGAATCTGCAGGGCAACCAGTTGACGGTGCTGGGTGACGTCTTCCAGCCTTCGTCGTCCTCTTCGGCCCTCGTCTCGCTGCAGCTCGATGGCAATGGACTCGGGGTGCTGCACAACGACTCCCTTCGAGGTCAAGCCTCGCTCAAGGTCATGTGGCTCGGGCACAACAAGCTGACGCGGCTACAGGCGCCGCTTTTCCGGGACCTGCTGCAGGTCCGTTTCTTCCTTTCTATCCCCTTTTTTTTTTTTTTTTTTTTTTTCTACCCCGTTTCGTTCACTTTTTTTGCTCATCATCGGTCACTTGCTATTACTGTACCATTTTAATGTCCCTGTTTACATAAATAAGAAATGCTATTTTTCTACTTTGTCCTAAAAACCATGGCTCGGCTGAGGGTTAAATTCTTCTTTTTCTTTATTTTTGATTTTTTTTCCCCAATCGGACGAGGGGTGAGAATAAGGCCCACTTTACCCTTTGGTTGACATTTCGCCAAAAACTCGTATACTCGGGAAAAATTGTTATTTTTGGGGGTGGGGTTGCAGGTCGAGCGGCTGTACCTGACCAACAACTCGATCTCGCGGATCGAGGACGCGGCGTTCCGGCCCATGCAGGCCCTCAAGTTCCTCGAGTTGAGCCAGAACCGGCTCACCGAGATCGGCGTGGCCACGTTCGCCGAGTTGAGGGAACTCGAGGAGCTCCACCTGCGCGACAACGGACTGCGGCGCATCGAGCCAGGAGCCCTCTCGGCCCTCAAACGGCTGCGCGTCCTCGACCTGGCCAACAACCGGCTAGGCGTCCTCGAGGAGGCCGTGTTCCGGGAGGCGCTGCCCGTGCGCCGACTGAACCTGCGCAACTGCTCCATCCGGAGTATCGAGGACGGCGCCCTGGGGGGTCTCGGCGAGCTGTTGGAGCTCGACCTGCAGGACAACCAGCTGGACGCCTCGGCGCTGCGTCGGCTGCGGATCTCCGGGCTGCAAGCCCTCACCCTTTCGGGCAACAGCTTTGGCGGTCAGGGCCTCGCGGACACCAGTCTCCACGGGCTGCCATCGTTGCAGCAGCTGACCCTCGAGGGCGCGGACCTGGGCCAGCTGCCCGAGGGCCTGTTCGTGCTGAACGTCAACCTAGCGCGGCTGCTGCTCGGGCGCAACGGGCTTCGGAGTCTGCCGCCGGGTCTCTTCGACAACTTGCTGGGGCTGCGCGAGGTGCGGCTCGAGAGGAACCGGCTGGCCGGGCTGCCTTACGCGGCCCTCGTCGGGGCCAAGAACCTGGAGATCCTCTCACTGGCGCACAACGAGGTCGTGGCGGTCGACGTCGCGAGCCTTGCCGGCTTGCGACAGCTGCGCGAGCTCGACCTCAGCTACAACCTGTGAGTTCATTCTTTATCCCCCTCTACATGTACTTGCATTGCTTCGAGTTACAATTATTTGAAACGCCTGTATCATAGGTATTGTGTTTCGGTAAAATTAGGAGTTTTTGCTCAACGTTTGTTCAATTTGTGATAAATGACATCTGGCACCATTCACGGACATTAGAATTGGCTCCTTATGGAGAAATCGTCAAGTGAGATGATGAAAAATCTATTACTCTGGCTTATAATTTTGATTAAGTGTAAATGTTGATCCATTCCCCAAATATAAACTAAATACCTACACAATGACGTTACAACGATTATTGCATTATATATTACTGCAACGATTGCTATTTTAGTAAATAACTTTTTAACTGTGTCACCTTTAGGTTTCGGTAATTGTTATTAAAAATTATGTATATGCACATATTTTTTAGTTAATTCGTGCCATTTATACAAGATAATCAGTATATTACGTACAAATAACGTCAAAGATGCAGAAGCAAAAGTGGATATCTTTATTGTGCGAGTAACAGGTTTTATTCTCTCGCTTGTCGATTTCTCCCGATTCACGCGTCGGTCGTCAAGTAACTCACCAGTAAGTACTTTCCACCGCAGGGTCGAGTCGATGTCGGGGTTTGCCCTCGCCAACCTGTCGCGGCTCTTCTCCGTCGATCTGAGCCACAACGAGCTCCACTCCCTACCGGCCAACTTTTTCACCAACTCGCCGCAGCTCAGGCGCGTCGATCTCTCCGGCAACAAGTTCCACCAGCTGCCCGCGGCCGCGCTCTCCGGGCGCAACCTCCCCGGCCTCGCTTGGCTCAACTTCACCGCCAACCCCCTCGGCAGACTTCACGGCGAGCAGCAATCCCCCGAGGCCACCTACCCCCTCCTCCAGGAGATCCACCTGGAGCAGGTGAACCTGAGCATCCTCACGAGCCAGGAGTTCGAGGCGTTCCCCGGCCTGCAGAACCTCTACCTCGGGCGCAACGGCATATCCCGGGTCTCCCCTGGGGCCTTCCGTAGCTTGCCCAACCTCCTGACCCTCCACCTCGGCGGCAACGGCCTGGACATCCTGCCCCAGGAGCGGCTACGGGGCCTCGAGCACCTCCGCATCCTCAACTTGACCCGCAACCGGCTAAAGGAGCTCGAGGAGTTCCCGGAGGACCTCAAGGCCCTCCAGATGCTCGACCTGTCCTTCAACCAGATCGGGGCCGTTGGCAAGCTCACCTTCAAGAACCTCGTCAATTTGGTCGAGCTCCACCTATACGGCAATTGGATATCGGCCGTGTCCGGTGAGGCGTTCCGGCCCCTCAAGAAGCTACGGCTCCTCGACCTCAGCAGGAACTACCTCGAGAACCTGCCCCTCAACGCCTTCCGGCCCCTCGAGACGCAGATTCGGAGTTTGCGCGCCGAAGGTAAGCCACTCCGTTTTTTTCCTCCTCGCAGTTTTTTTTTTTATTTTTTTATTTTATGCGATAATGTGTGCAGCTCCTCGCGCATTTTCCATCTTCGTTTGTTCAACGGCGTGATGAACGAGGTCGGTGTAATTTGCTCTGCACATTTTTTTTTTATTTCCTCTCCGACAAAGTTTTTTAATCATCTCTACGAAATTGTTGTTTATTTCACCGTCGTTTTTCGATGAAAGTCGCTGTACTTTTTTTTTTTTTTTCATTAAATTTACACAGAATTTCATTTGCCTCTTCTTGGAAAAAAACTGCGCGCACGGGTAAAGCAAATTTTCATAAAAAGCTGGTTATTTTTCAAAAAACATGCACAAAAAAAAAGCGGGCCGTTACCCGTTAGTAGGAACGTTGAAATTAATTTCTGTAACGGATCAATTGACGGGTGGTAAAGATCAAAGAAAAACCCCGCGCATATCATACCAGCACCGTAACTCGGGCCATTTCGAACTTTCGTGCGCAGAGAATCCCCTGAACTGCGGCTGCGAGTCCCAGGAGTTGTGGGAGTGGCTGCGGGACCATCAGAAACTCGTAGGCTCCGGGTCGAGCCGAGGCCGCGGCCGCGGCGTTGGACTGAGCAGCGAGACCGAGGCCAGTGCCCTGAGGTGCGAGCAACCCCCCGAGCTCCGAGGCCTCGTATTCCTCGATCTCGACCCCCACGCCTTCTGCTCGGTACCGCTGGTCCTCAAACTGGCCATCCAGGACATCCAGCCCTTCTCCGTCCTCGTCTCCTGGCAGAGCCGCAACCACTCGGGCCTCCACGGCTACCAGGTCGCCTATCACGCCTTGGGCAACGTCGATGAGGTTAGTGCCCTCATTACCTCAACAAATCAATTCTCGATACACCTTTTTAATTTATGTATCCTTCGAGTATAATATGGTACCTGTACGTATTTGTAAAAAGTATAACTTTGTACGCATAAGTACATCGATAACGCCCAGAGTATATCGTGGATATGAAAACGTTTGTTTTGCTGCGCCCTAAAAGTCGAGCACTGGTGCCCAAAGTAAATCGTGCCCCATCGGCGCGGGTTCTGCCTTCAGGTGCGGGGCAAACTACTGGAGCCAAAGGCCCGGTCGGTTCGTCTGGCGCGGCTGGCCCCCGACACGCGTTACCTCATCTGCGTCCTGGGCCTGGGCAGCTGGAGCGCCCCACCGGCCGAGGGCATCGAGTCCCCGGGTCTCCTGGCCTCCTCGTGGAACTCGACCGAGGAGGACGAGCTGCTGCTCGAGGGCTCGGCCCACCCGGTGATGGTCAACTCGCCCATGAGTAGGTGCACGGAGGTGCGCACCCTCGAAGCCCCGGGCTCGCCCCTCGGTGAGGGACCCGCCGCCGAGCGAGGCAGCCTCGCCAGCATCCTCACCCGCCGGCTCGGCCTCATTGTCGGCAGCTGCATGGGCTTCGTCGTCTTCGTCGTCCTCATCTCGGTCCTCGGCTACATGAAGATGAAGAAGCAACGAGCGGCCCTTAAGCGCGAGCAGCCCCTCGCCGCGGCCCATCCACCCGATTACCTCTCTTACCGGCACTTTTCCCTCCAGAGCGGCGACAACCGCCCGGACAACGCCTGCCCGAGCTTCATCACGTAGCAGCGGGGCCGCGAGCGCGACGTCGAGCTCAAGACCGTCGCCACCTGCACCGACTACTTTGGATGAACTCGAATCCGACTCCCCCCCCCCCCGTGTATATGTACACCTGCGCTCCGCAGTGTCGATTCAATCTTGGATTTCCGAGCGCCCTCGTACCGGGGCGTTTCCCTTATCCCATCCATCCAGCATCCCTCGAGGTCCCCTTTCTAAAGAAGACTGACTTTTTTTTCACGAATTTTTCCTTTTTTTTTTTTACTCTCGAGCTTACGTATACGTAATAAAAGTGTGCGTGCCTGCGTGCGTGTGTATGCACACGCTCGGACGAGTGTCGTTGTGTACATTTTCTTTTTTCTTTTTTCTTTTTTTTTTTTTTTTTTTTTTTTTTTTTTTTTTTTTCCTTTTAATCGTAAACAATATAACAACGACGACGATAACGACGAGGTTGTTGTTGTTGTTCTTTCTGTTGTTGTTATTGTTGGTATCGTTGTTAATGTTGTTGTTGTTGTTGTTGTCGTTGTGTGTTGGAGTATGTTTTTTATACGCGTCCGATCCATATGTGTACGTGTGAGCGACGCGAGGTGTGAAAGGAAAATTAAAATCAAATAGTAATAATAATGATGACGATACGAAGTAATATCAATTGACAACAGCGAATTAATCAGTTAAACAGACGATGGATATCCTGCCAGGTTAGTCGTATAGTAGAAGTGAAGGGCCGCGAGGTGGTAGTGATGAGTTGGAGGATAAAAAGCAAAGTATACATTATATATATATACACTATACATAAAGAGAAATAAAAATAAAATTAGCAATCGGTCAACGAAACATCGATGGAATTCGTGAGTTGTTGCAAAGAAAAAAAAAAATAAAATAAATAAAGAGGGAAAAAAGAAAAGACAAAACTGTTTTTCTCGATAATCATCGTCCCGATTTGCTACTAATTGTATTAAGAATCCATGTAAATAGATAGACAAAAGGTATCTAAGCGCATAAGCAAAATAATGGAATTATCGATCAATAAAAACTAATTAACTATTACAATAAATTTAAATCTTGTTCCTGTCGCCCCCCCCTTTTTCTCAACTTTCAGGGTGACTATTTTTTTTTTTTTTTTTAATTTTCTCTTTCCATTTAATTTGCCGAAAATTACATTTCCTCGCAGCTTCCACGCCCACGAGGACCACTCCGACAGAGCAAGTTCCTCGTATACACTGTGGGTAAGTTAATTGTAGACTCGAAGATGATTTCCAGCCGAGCGGGGCCTTGCACCAACATACACCGAAAATGCATTACTTAAAAAAATTATCAAAAATAAAATCCTCATTCGTGCACGCTGAGATAATCGGTATACCAGTGTCAAAGACAGTGAAAAAATATATGCATGTATACGAAGTCACAGCATCATTAAACGCAGAACCTTTTTTTCCTTTCAGCGTTGAATATGCAGTTCTTGCGTATATGCAGAGCATCAAAGTTTCAGCAAAACGTTTAAAACATCTCCCGAAACGTCTAGATATGTGTATACACATGTATAAATGGAGAACCAAAGCGCAACGAGGAAGTCACGAGTGAGAGCACCTACGCGGGCGCGAGAAAAGTCGCGAGAAGTTGTTGGGGAAAAAGGGGGGGGGAGATGCATATTGTAATGCAATTACGGCAAAGAGGCGAGGACAATACAATTAATTCTTGGAGTTTCTGGTCCGACTGTCGGGCGCCCACATATATATACTAAGCGTCAGGAACAACGACGTCGGCTGTACCCCCCATATATTTATACGAGTGTACGCAGAAGCGCCGAGATACGTGTACATACAACAGACGTGTGCGTTTTTTCTTTATCCCCTGCAGCACTTACAGCTCTGGCGCGCGCGTTCCCTTTGCTTTGTCAGCAATTACCAGCAGCGTCACCACCCACTCCCCGCATGTCACGAGGTTTTACTTCCCCCGGTATATATATATACACGCTCACTGCATGTATATCCCACTTGGGCGCCATTTCTCCCTCGCACGTATCTTTTCCTCCCTATCAGCAAACTTATACATTCGCACGCAGCTTAATTTTTTTATTCCCTACGAGAAGACATACCTTTATACAATGTACACATGTGCTATATGTCGATGGGCATGTAGCGATTTTGCACTACATGTATTTCTTTTTCCCTCCGTAACTTATTCTCTTTCACGGGGTGATGGTAATAATAGATCGGGAGCCAGCAGAGAACGGGCTTTCTTTCATGCAGCTCGTCGAGTGCATAATATTTGTGGGGCAAAGCAAACATCAGAGGAAACTCCGTTTTTGTGTGTACGTGCATGTGTGTGTGTATGTACGTGCAAAAAGTTTGGGCGCATGCATGTTCTCGTAGTCCCTCGTTTTCGGGCAAACTAGTGCGTTCTCTTGCAATAATCATAACACAACAACGGGACTGGTGGTACGCGGAGCAATTTCGAAAATTATTGTTCGCCCCTGCAGTTGTTGTACCGAAATGTATACCACCCGCTCGAGGACGTTTTTTTCTTTTTTTTTTCCTCCCTTAAAAGCTTCGCGCTCTTAAAATGTTTTGCATATACACGTTACGTGTACTTCATACGCAAGGTCTCCGTGATTTCTTTTTTCCTTTTTTTTTTTTTTTTTTTTTTTTTTTTTTTTTTTTTGCTTTGTTTACTCGTTCCACGCGACCTTCTTCTCTGCAAGGGATGCACGAGCTTTTTGGAGCACCGCGCGCATTGAACGTTTGTTTGTCGTATTTATCATTATTTGGTGAAACGAGCGAAACGTCGAGAGAGCGAGAGAGATATTTTTGTACACGAAGTGAAACATTTTCCTCCTCCACCCCCCAGCACAATCCGATTTGAAGTACATATTGTACGCATCGTTAGAGTTTCAAGATATTTGTTACTTCGAGCTGAAAGAAAGAAAGAAGAGAAGAAAAAAAAAAAAAAAGACTTTGGCTATGAAAATTCTGTAGGTATACATGTAGGTGCGCTCTCGATGGAAATCGATTACCCGTAAGAAGAGCAAGTGGCGAGGGACGAGGAAAAATAATCTCTCCGAGATATCTTATCGGGATAAAACGGTGAAACAGTTCACTCGAATACATTGAATAGCAGATCGGGGGTAGATTGATTCGACAACTGTCCCGATTGTGTGAAAAGGTATATAATACGTATGACTCTTAACCTCTTTCTTTATATATACATATATAGGTAAAATGAACAAAGAGATAGAGAAAGAGAGATCGAAGAAGAAGTATCCTGCAGGGATGGATATCGCGGCAGTCAAATCTCGGGGGAAGAAAGGAAGGAAGTAAAAGGGTCGGGTGGATTTAAAAGCCCGTTCTCCTTCGTAATCTCGTTGGGAATGGCTCTATCGCCCCTCCCCCCCCCCCAGGGGAGGGAGGGAAAAAAAATGATCTCGTACGGAATGTCGCGCTGAGCAAAGGAGCAAAGGTAAAGAGAGAGAGCAGAAATTGAACGGAAGGAAATTCAAAGGAGGAGGAGGAGGAGGAGGTATACGAGGGTTGAAACAACACCGAAGATTGTACCCCCTCGAAGCTCAACGGGCGGCGTGCTCGTAAAAATGGATAAATAATTTTCTTAACGGCAGTTTGCTTTTCCTCCTGCATGAACGTGCGATGTATTGAAGATTGCTACGAGTTGGAAAAAAAAAAAAAAAAAAAAAAAAAAAAAAATAGGTTCCTCGGAAAGTTCAAACGACGAGTCAAAGAGAAAATACACGGGGGGGGGGGGAGAGAAAATACATCAACATTTATACCTACTTTACGGTCATATTGGCAAATTGAAATTTCATGCATACTCCTTGAGGGTAAATACGCCCCGAGAGCGATCGGGGAGGAAAAAAGACGAGAGCAGCGCTATAAAAATCGTAGTTCAGTTCTCCGGAACTTTCTCCTGCCTGCACCCTTGGCTGCAACGTAGCAGAAACTCGCGCTTAGAAGGCACGCGTACCTATATTGTACATGCACGCGGTGTAGCGAGCGAAATGGCCAAGGCGTGTTATTATAAAAACTCAGGCATCAGCTATGTGTGCGGATGTTGTGTACGCATGTACGAGGAACGTATTACCTTATATGCGTGGGTATGGGAAGGAAGAGGGGGAGGGAGAGGAGAGCCCGTCTGGAAAATTGAAAATTCGCGAAAACCTAGGGGTAAAAAAATAAGGTGCTGCTATGGGATTCCGAGTAAAAGTCACGGAGGGAATACGTGTGCCGGCAGGTCCGTTTTTCACCCGAAAACTACCCCCTTGCTCGTCCCGACACACCTGTATACCTACTTGGGAATATGATAATATGCCGCTCAATGATGCATCGGGGATTGGTAAGTACATGCACCTATATATACATATACATATACCGTATATGTTAACAGAGTTCGTTTGGTTTAACCGTTTATTTGGTACATGTGTAGGTGTACGCTCGTTACTCGAGAGCTCAAAACGTTGTACATATCACGGGAGTACGATCAATTGATGCGTCCATCAGCAAAGTTCTCGGATCTCACTTTTGGCTTCTCGGGTCTCGAGAAATATGCTCTCGGGAGTGATGAATAATCGAAGGGGGTGAAAAGAGTAGCCCCTTTTTCGCTCGCCTCGCGCGCAAGATAATACACTTAAACCCAGACGGCGGAGACTGCATTTGTACAAAGCTCATGTACATACATATATATATACACGTAGAGCGGCTTCGCGGAGGAGTGTGCCCACGTGTATAAATGCGCTCAGCTATCGCGACGGGACAGACGAGCGAGAGTATATATATATGTAGGAGCGGGTGTTGGTATCTACAGGCAGAGCCATGCATGGCGCTGAGGTTGTAATCTAGGATTAGTCCGAAGCGAGAGTTTGGCTGGGGTCCGGCTACTCTCCTCGACTGGCTCCATAACTGATTAATGCCTCGGATCCTCGAATAAATGAGCCCCGGGCGCATGTTGTACGTATGGCCTGCGATTTGCCGGCATGTGAAATTGGTAAATCCTAGAAACTACTCTCTTGGTAAACGTGTGTGTGTGTGTGCATGTGTAGCTCGCTGGCCGCGGTGGCGAAACTTTTTTACATCGGTACCTCGGCCACGTACGAAATTGCGATGGGAGAGAAAACGAAAAAAAAATTAAAAAAATAAAAACAGGATGCAGGAATAACTCTCGTGCAAGTGTAATTGTTACTTTCTTTGTTCTTTTTTCCATCAATCAACCTTGTTTTTTTTTATCCGCGCTGAGTCTTTCGTTTATATGCTGGTCTTTTGGGACCAGCGCATCGGAAAAAACGGCACAAGAT